AAGACACTGTGCAATGTGTCCCTTGGCTCAGCATCACTGCTGAAAGTAACTTCCAGTCTTTGTATTTCACATTCTCACCTAATATATTACTGCTTTACTTGACACCAAAGCCCAGGAACAGGAGGGTGACAGATTTCTGTTGGTTGTGTAACAGCTACAGAGGTAGGTCTGCCTTAACCTCCTTGTTATTAACCCTGGGACACCTTCTGTTTAATTCTCAGAATGTAAAAAACAGAGAAGATTTAGTTTGCAGTACATTTGCAAAAAAGCTCAGACTATACAAATAAGCATTTTGCAGCAACTGCAAGTAGAGGCAAGTTCCAGAAAGGGAAAAAAAATAATCTGATGGATGTCATCTTGTGGTTTTTTTGCTAGATTAATGAAAAGCCTACACAGCATAATTATGTTTACAATAAGCTTACAGGAGTTTTCCCACAAGGTAGAGAAGAGTCATAGAGGGATCAGGTTAAACCAATTATTTAACCTTTACAGAGCTAAACTTGCAAGTGTTTTAGAGGGAGGGAAAACGGACTATTTTATTGGTTGCTTACAACCATGTATTAAAGTAGTGGTCTCTTTTTTTATTCCATCGCGTTGCAAGGGCACATCCTGGCAGATTCAATTCAGATGATTGGGAAACAAATTGCTGGGTGCTTAGATGAGTTAAATATTCCACTGCTAGCACAAGTTTGGTTTTTACTACCATGAATGAGTCTCCTCACAAATAATCTAACGTCTGGTAAGGCTCTTCACAGAACATGGCACCCAGATTGAGGGGCTTTAATGATAGAGTGAACAAATAAATCATTGAGCTCGACTGGGATATGTTGCATTCACTAACATCAAGATTTCCTTTTCTGGAGCTGGTCTTTTGGGCTTGAAGCAAGTGGGCAATGATGGAAAGCACTGAAAAGAAAACAATATAGTATCATTTATCAGGCCTTTTGCAATGTCAGCTCTCCATTGTTCTTGCTTAAAAAAACTACCATACTTCTTGGCTTTCCTAATTCATCAGAGAGACATGCAGTTGTTCTGGTTTAGACATTAGCATTTGTTTTGTTTATTCCAGATCTAGTGGGCAAAAATCAAGTAAACCTGATTAATTCAGTGGTCTACCTATGTTTTTTGCAAAGGATATGGCAAGCTATGATATAGTAGAGCTTGAGAAATACAGATATAACACCCTAGGGGATAAATTCTATGGATGTTGTTGACAGAGCATCTGTCTAAATGATCTTCCAGCTAGTACTGGGCAAAATCAATTTTTTTTTTTGCTGACAATTTGAAAATATGGGGGAAAAAAACATTACTACTCAAAATTCAAACACTTTTGCAAACTGCATCTTGGGAAAAATATTCAGAACACTTGATGTGTTTTATCTGGATTTGGGAGCGTCTTATTTTTCACCGAGATAAAAACGGGATTTTGTAACAAATTGTCATTTCTGTCACAAAATACCAAACGATCTCTTTAAAGAATGCTCTCTGAACCCCACCCAATTACCAGCCAACTGCAGCCAACAACATGCTTTACACATCAAATACTAATTAGCTGGCATATGAGAAGAACGTAAATGAAAATAATATCCAAATGGTCAACCTGGGGCTGTCCAGCTACTCAGTCCAAAGCCATTTACATGTGACTCCCATGCTGGCATTGCACGCAGGTTGGGATCCCCTGGGAAAGCCACTCCACTGGCTGCAGAGGTATCCATCCAGCACAGGCATCGCAGCCTGTGCTAGGATGGAGCACTATGCTCAGAAATGAGTAATAGGACCCCACAGGGAGATGTTCACCTTTTCCACCTGTGAATACCTCCTGGCACTCCTCTGCTCCCTGCTCTGTCTGCTTTGTGTAGGGTAGGTCTCATTTGTATGGTGATTTTGGCAAGCAGCTGACAGGGTAAGGGAGGTGCAGCACCTGGGCGTGCATGGACTGATCTTTCCTCTGTGTCCTACAGACGGTGACATTTGCCCTTTAGAAAGAATCTCAGTGGCAAACCCCAACAATAAACTAGCTCCTCACCTCCCATAAAGCTACCTGGCCGAGAGACAGCTCAGCCTGCAGGCACAAAGCCATGCATCAAACAGTACTCAAACTTCTCATTGGCTTTTGTACAGCTGCGACGAGATAATGCCTCAAACATTTCAAGAGCAACGTCAAACATTTTCAGTCACAGTGTTTCCAGTTCAGCAACTCAGTTCCTATTTGGGCAGCAAAGACACACAATTTTCCAGTCGTGCTGGAATTACGAGGGAATCGTAATCTTTTCACACCTCTGAAAATTAAACCAATTATCTAGAAACCATAAAGGAGTTGGCTTACTCAAGGTCTTATCCAGGAGTGGGAATAGATGTAGTAATGATCTGAGGTTTTTCATTGCATATATTCCTCTCACCATTTTAACCAGAGCAGTGAAAGCACTACAAAGCCAAGCAGAGATACTAAACCACCTGATAAATGGATCACATTTTCTGATTCAGTTGCATTGCTACAAGCAAATAAAGCACAAGTAAAAGATAACTTCTGGTGACATGTCATCTCTACGATTACGTCCTGGCTCCAAGTGAAAGACAAACTTATAAACATTCTCTGTCACAATAACTTTTAGGATTGCCTAACAAATACTATTAAAACATTCTAAGTTTCAATTCTTTGTGACTTTCCCAAGATTCTGTGTTGGGACCGACATTTTCCATTTTGGTTGCTAGTTTATATCTCATTTATTTTCTTTTATTCCTTTTTGGAGGGGGGAAATTTAGGGTGAAATAGCCATTTGTAAGAAGACTAAATTAATTTTTGCTGTTAAATTCTGGGCACAATTCCCTTTGATTTCTAATGGGAATCTCAAATTTTACTGGCTGGCTGCTATGGTTGGGATGAGCCTTTTGCATTCCCCAAGAGAATCTGCCCAGAATTGGCAAAGTTTCAGGCTTTTGAAAAACCACAAATCACACAGTTTTTAAAGATGTTAGGCAACCTCCTCAAAGCCTCCCTCTGCCCAATTATTGTGTTATCTCAAGTGGCAGAAGTCCAAGAGGGTGATACAGAGGCTCCAGCCCTGCTGATTGCCCATGTGGGTGCCAGGACCATTAAGTCCCTTGGCCAAGTCTACTTTTTCAGGCTGCCTTCTTAAAAACCTAGGAAATGAAACAACAAATGTTAACTGCAGGATGATGCAAAGATTAGGAATCACCAAATTTAAGACTGCTTGTGCAACTTCAGTTTGATTTCTTGTGGTGTTCATGCAGATTTTAATGGCTCGATGACTTCCTACATTTCCCATTGATCCCTGCCTCATTCAGTGCAAAGAAGATCTGCTCCAGCACCCAACATTCTGAATGAAGGAGACATTTTCAGTACTGCTATCTCAGTGCTTTCAAAGCATGAAGAGGGTAAGAAAAGACTAGAAAATAAAGGTTGCAGGACAAAAAGGGATGGTCTCCTGGTTAAATTAGTTGGGTTGGATTCACTTCTGTCCTGGTGTCTGTTCAACAGATCTTTGGTCACTGAAGCCAAACTTTTCCCACAAGTCATTAACTTTGCATTTCTCAACTTCCAGGTATCTGATAAGATCATGGATTCTGACTTGCAGAAGCTGCTGTCATTCCCAACTACAGCCAAGATCAGGCCATATGTCTCATGCTGTGTCCCCCTAGATCCCACTTTCCCTGTCCCTGTGCCTTGCTTCTCTGACAGACCAATAAGGATAACAGCACCCCCTCCTCTCTGTTTTGGGAAGACAGATGAGTGAATGTTTGTGAATCCCACAGATCCTGTGGTGGTGAGCCCCACAGGAGAAGCCACAAGGAAATTAATAATTCTGTCTTCAGAATGAGATTTTTACTGTAAATAAGGCCTGGGGTCACACTTCAGGTAATAAGCAGAGAACAAAATATTGAATTAGGAGAGCACCATCTATTCTGAATGAGGTGGTGGAAACTATACTAGCTGTTCATTTAATTAAAGACTTATATAATTCATACACACAAGGAAAATGATTTAAGGTTCATTTTTGAGTTAAGAATTGATTTGCAACCTTAATAGTGCTCTTTTAAAACAGTGTGTGGGTGGCATGTATGTTTGTTATAGCCTGCCAGCCAGGTAATTCAAGGAAAGAGGGAAGCTTTGAGCTTTCAGCCCCTGGTCATTTCTTATGGATAATTCACTACCTGCACATCCTTCCTGGAAGCAGCTACATGTATGTTACTGATGGCTTATAAAAACAAAACAAAACCAGAAAGATGTAATGCAATATTTATTTAAAATCTCTGTTTTGGGAAATCATTGAATCATGTCTGTCTTGAGGCATTGTGGTTCCTTTACTAAATACTGAAGATATTTCACCGTAAAACAACCAGTCTTAGGGCTGCCCGTTCCAGGGCCAGGAAAGAATTGTTTGAACAGCAACTTTCAGCCTTTCAAAATTAGAAATTCTTTGTTAAAGCACTTTTTATTTTCTTTAAGATAAAAACCCACACTTTGTTTGAGAACATGAGTTATTATTTCACAGGATTTTAAAAACTTGTCCTGAGCAGGATGTGGATCACTGGGTTTTTAACCTATGAGTACTTTTTTTTTTTTTTTAATTATGACAGCAGGCACCTGGAGTCTTTCAGGGGTTTTGCCTGAACCCAGCTGCATCTGTCATGCTGATCCCACTTCCAGCTTCAGACATGGTCCGATACTGCGGAAACAGAAAACTGATGCTGCACTGTGAAGCTGGCATTCAGGGAAGATTTCTTGGCTGGAAATGGCTGGATCCCAGTTTAGGGATGCTTGTAGGTGCCTGGGACTGTAACACTGATCAGAAAGCTCAGGAATTAACCATCGGGGACATCTGGGGACAGGGCTGAGGGAAGCAGAGGAGGAAACCCTGACTGAAGTATTAAAGCCCCACTCGTGTGTCGTAGAAGGGAAGTATCAGATGTGTATGAATAGAACGGGGTTGCATAGTGCCAAGCCACTATGGAGGTACATACAGACAGTTGGGGCAGCAACAAAGCAGTGGATATTGCTGTTCCAATTCCTGTAATTATTCACTGTGCACATGTAGATGAAGAAAATCCCCAAGAGGCACAAGACAAGAGCACCTCTAGTGTAAGTGTCTGGAAGCCAATAAGATGAAACACATTTTCACTAGTAGGCAATCAATGTTGGTTTTTTTTCAACCACTCTTGCCTCTTGTCAAGCACCTACATCTCTTTTGTGAACATCTAAAATTAGAGCAGCCTGACAGAGGAAAGCATCGAGTATCTGCAGGTCCAGCAGAAGTCACTAAAAATCAAGATCTGACTGTGCAATCTTTGACTTTAACCTCCCAGGGATGTATAATTTCCTCCACAAGGAAGACAACAGTTTCCTGCCTTAGTGATGCAGTTTGAGATCCAAGGAAAAATTTTCTACTGAAAAATACCAGAGTCAGAAGAAGGCACTTTAATGGGGGTAAGAAACTGGCTTCTCACCTCACACTGAGTTCCCCAAAATCCAAGAACCCGATCATCTGGCTTTCTGGAGGAGGGGGGAAAAATTCTCTTTCTCTCAGTCTACTCATTCTTGTCTCTTCTCTCCTTTTTTTTTTTTTTCTTTCTCTCTTTTCCTCTTACTACATAAAAAGACAAGGTTGCTTTCCTAAGCCTCCAAGGAGAGTTTAAAATACTCCCAAAAATGCCACCAAAAGGACTGTAAACATATGTCTCACTGGGATTTAATTAGCAGAAAGAGCTGTGCAACCACCAAGTGTATATTTAAAGCAATCTAATAGCCATTGCCATGATGAAGTCTAACATCCCAGTTTATGTCTGAAAAAGAAAAGGGGTCTGGACAACACCTTTGCTATAAAAAAACCCCAACAAACAGCCAGTGAAAGCAATAAACCATATTTGCTCTGTTGCCAAGTCATCAGTTCTTGTTTAACCAGCCAATGCAACAAAAGCTTAATGCAAAAATGTACTGCAACCTTCTTCTACCCTCCCTCTTCTGCTCTCACTCTTTCTCTCTCTTCTCTCTCTCTCTCTCTGTCTCTCAATCTCTCTCTCTCTTTCTGGGATTGGCTTATTTAAAAACTATATTTCTGCCTAGGCATTCAAAAATGCTGAATGCCTCAAGCAAACTAGTAGAATAAGCATGTTTCTCTACTGTTTCTTGGCAGGGTCCACCGCCTGAGTCCTGCTTTAAATTAAAGCACATGTGGCTTGAGTTTAGCATTATCATGAAAATGAAATTACCACTTTAGAAAAGTCAAGTTATTTTGGAAGTGAAAACTGCAGGTCAGAGCCCACCAAAATTCCAAAACCTTGCTCAAAAAATGTCTCATTGAAGGTTCAGAGCTGCTGCTGTGGACAGTGCATCCTTTTGGGTCCTGATTTATAGTCTTCCCCTTCACAGTTTCCTACATTTGCTACATGCTCTCAGGAAAACCTTACAGACCTTGGTTCCTTGTCGCTGGCTCCCTCTGCAGCTCCTCCCATGGAAAGGGGAGAGACATAAAAATTATCTATCAGAAATCAGCTACATTGACCTGAGGCTCATCCTACTGTTTTGAAGTCCTTTTGAAAATTACCCTGGCACTGGTAAATACAACAAAGCCATGTTGAAGTGCTGGTTGTTTGCTCAGCTAAAACACCTCTGTGCAATAATTTTCTCGCCATCAGCAGAGGCTGTGTGAAGATGAGGCAGGAGCCTGCGCTATCCCAGCTTGGAATGGGTTCTCCTGTGCGCTTTTTCATGCCCAGAGTTTTGAGTAGGTGGTAAAGTTCATCTGCAGCATGATGGTTTGAGCAGGGTCTGGGGTTTTACATTTGTGTGTGTGTATGTGCGTGTGCATATTTGTATTTCACCTGTAACATGGGCTTTTTATCATGCATTATCACATCAAGTCATAAAAGCCTGCAGATATATGTCAAGTTCCACTGTCCTATTGAGAAGTGGCTTGTCACGTGGTAGTAATGAGCCATCTATAAGATGACACTTGCCAGAACCTTAACTCTATCAAAAGAGTGAATTGTTAAAGAAATAGCATCAGATGGGCTTGATTCTTTTGCTCCACAACATTGCTTTTTATTTTATTGCAATTCCACTGACTTCAGTGGAGTGAAGCCAGTCTCTGGGAGGGTTGGAGTCAGCCATCAACATACCAAATATTGCAGCTGAAGTTGGAATGACCAGTGCGTTGTATAATCCTGTGGAAACATGTATGATGATTTTGCAAATGGAGCTGGTGATCTGGCTAAGAAATCAAGCCACAGTAACTCACCCTGTTTCCTACACACACGAGCATGTACACTCATACACTTAGGGAGAAAACAGTGTCTGGAAGAAAATAATTCTTCAGCCAACAACTTCAGAGACATTTGGAAGGACAGGAGAATGGGGAGTGCCAAGAGAATTTTCCCCAAGCTAAGAATTAGTAATATTGCCTTGCCTGTTGAGGTTTGCCAACATGACTGGAACTGAGAGTGACTACTGATTTTCAGAGAAACTGAATCAAGCCTTCATCCCTTTCATGGAACATCTATTGGAAGGGGTCTACAATAATCATTTAGTCCAACTACAAGTACCTCTAGTAGGTACCTGCTCCTAACTTTAATCTGCTCCTAACTTGAATCTACCCACAGCCCAAAGAGTTGGAGTTTGGCCCAAGTCCTACTATAATTTGGGAGGCAGTGATGAGCAGAGCCCAGGGTCCAAGTTTCTTTGTGTTGCACTGTGAGACACCACCATTGTTATCATCAGGCGATGCACCTCTCCAGAAGCCAAGGATTGGTCCTGAGGGTCCTGCAGACCTACTTTCAGACACATTCCTCTTTTTGTCCCACCTCTAACTCTTTCAGAAGGATTTTTCATAGGAGCAGTCATGACCAGACTTCCCAAACCATCACAGTGAGAAGAAGGGTGATTTGGTTTATACAGAGAGATTCAGGGCAACAAGTCTGGTTTCATCAGCCACAGGGCCTAAGGGCCTGGGGATGAGGAGAAAGGAACACTGATAGTTTGGGGTACAGCACATGACTTCAAACCCATCGAGAAGTTCATGGGTACCTCTGATGCAGCATTAGGCTGGGAAGGGACTGACTGAGATCAGAGGGTCTTTGGAAAAGTGTTGATGAGCAAGTGGGTAGTAGTGGATATAGCAATCACCTCACACTCAAGCAAATCATGGCGGTACTTAATTTTTGTCAGATCCTATGAAAAAACACCTCTCTCAAGTTTGAAGGGGATTGGAAGGTGAGTGATTTAGATGAGGAGTCATTTAGTCAGGGTGAGGGTTGGTAGGGCTTGAGGATATAACTGCTTGTGATGGCTGTGAAAGGCCAGGGGGCTTTGCTTTATGTGGAAGGAAACACAAAAAGCAGTTTCCTGAGGCAGCAGGGATGAGTACAAGGTAGGGAACAGACTAGAGGGTCACCACTTGACTTCCCTCCATCTCCCTTCCTGGGTATTTTTAACCAAACTCAAATTTGTGCTCAAGATTTGCTGCTGCTACTAATCCTCTAATTGATCCTCATGGAACCCTTCCAACTCAAGATATTTTATGATTTTCTGATTCTACCCCAACGTGTCTCCATCCTCACACATGACTACCCCCTCCCATCCCATGTGCCAGCATATCCTATGGTCAGTTGAACACACTCTGTACTCATGAGGTAGTTTTCCAACACAGTGGTTAGTTCCAGTTGGTGTTACAAGTTTCTTGTCACCAAGAGAACACTCCTATCTCTGGTCATAAGTTACAAAATATGCAGTGAGTGGCCAAGTCTGCTCAGATGTGCTTCCAACCAACCACTCTGCTTCTGCAATTAGAAAATAAATTATTTTGTAAGAAAGGGTGAAGGCAACTGGTGAAAAAAAATTGTTCTTAGTGTTCATAAACAATAAGAGGCTCTAAATGGGCTATTGCCAACTCAGGAAAGAGATCCTGGAGTCACTCTTCGAAAATATGAACACAGGTGTCAGAAGTCTAAAAAGCCAATAGAGATAGAAAACTTGTTAGCAAAGAATAAACTGTAAAGCAGAACACATCATTTTTTAACTATATGCATGTCTCTTGGGCTCATTTCTTGAATACTGTGCAGATCTGGACACGGGGGGGATTAGGAAAGGCGAAGAGAATAGTGATCAACGACAATTAGATGTACTGTATTTGCATAAAGAGAAGCTGGAAAAGAGACAGCTGACAGAGGCTTGTCAAAATGGAGTATTATAAGAAAAGTAAAGAGAAAATAATTTCTTTCCATTTTGTAGGAGGTAGGAAGTGGAGAACACCACAGAAAATCATCAGTCTGCAGGTCTAGACAAAAAAGACATATTTTTTAATAAAAAATGTAATTAAGCAGGGGAACTCACTGTAGCAGGCTTGTACAGAAGTGTGAATGAGCTTAAGGTGAGATTCAAAAATCCAGTAATAATAATAGGTGTCCTAGTGAACCTAGTAGGCTCTAATTCAGAAAAATCCCTGCCTGAACAGGGACTGTTCTGTGGGACAATGAATGGGAACTAGTAAAAATCCCTTTCTATTCACCTGCTCATCATGAGCTTTACCATCGCTCTTTCACAGAAATTAAGAGGGAGGATGCCCTTTAATATACTTACTCCTGGGTTGGTGCACTCAGGGTTACTGTGGAAAGCCCCACATTTGAATCCTCTCCTTGGCTTTCAACCCAGACTTTTTTTCCTCCCTGCAAAGTGCTGTATATCTGCTGAGCCATCCTCTTCCCTGAGTACATCCACACTGTCATGTTAGCTCATGCCTCAAGTCTGTGCTCAGCCCTGAACTCTGATCATCTCTGCCAGTGTTAATCTCATCCTCTGACTCATGTCTGCAATGAGCTAACCCGCTCTCCGGGCAGAGGAAATTCAGGAATCCAGGAGCAGGGAAGTAGGTGGGAGATGATCTTGTCTAGTGGTTAGTGCCTGCATTTGAAACACCTACTTGCCAGTTCTGCAGGAATACAAGGGAATATATATGGTTTATTTTCCTATAATACACACACATATAACATAAACATGAGAAATATTTGTGTTATATATTATTTCTTAAGTATATGTCTAACTAGGAGAGTAACAAACCCGAGGAAGGGCAAGAGTGGGAAATTCTGTCTGAAAATCCTGTAGACCTTTTCTGTGGCAAAAGGGGATTGTTCAGCTTTGGATTCCCATTACAGACTATGTAAAATATCACTATAACTAAAATAGACCCTAAACAGCCACACTGAGAGGCGGAACTTCAGGCTCATTTCATTCTCTCATGCTGACCTGACTCAAACCTTGAGGGCCCCCATAAAGCCACAAGAAGGGAATCAGCTAGTGAGAGTCAAGCCTTAGGGTGCCACATGAATGCAGTTCATGGCCCAAAGACCTTGACAATGTTCTAGAAGGTTCTAGAAGGTAAGATGTCTGCCAGGGTGTGATGGAGATTTAAGGCATGTAAATGAAGATGAATACCTGTGAACTGATCTCTAAACTCCAGGTACATTCATGAAGTTCTAGATGGTGGAGTTAATGAGGTCTTCAGGCTGATTCAGCTGACCAGATCCAGGTGCCTTAACCTGCAAGCTGACTCCTATCCTGGCTTCCTGTGGCAGTAAGAATCTACATTTCTGAAGGGAATATATGTCTTTCTAACATTAGGTTTACACTAAGACTCTCAAGAATCTGAATTTTGTTTTGTAGACCCTAAAAAATTGTCAATGCTGGCTCCTTTATTGATCTAACACTGTCTCTCTGTCCTGTAATTCCCCTATTTTAAGAAGGTGACAAGGTTACTTCCTTTTTTACTATAAGATACAGGAAAGATAAATATAGCAAAGGTTTTCAAGCTTTCAAATACTACAGTTCAATATGAAATACTTGAAGCAGATATATGCTAACTAAATAAAGCATATAGCAGTTCTTATTTACAAAGATAAGAAAAAAGATATTTTGTTTTAAATTTTTTATGTATCACCCAGAATTCCACAGCCCTATCTCCATACTTATTGTAAAAGTGTGAGAAAGAACTCTATGTTTAAAGACTCCAGTATCTCTTATTTGGTTAATGTCCTACAAGTATTTAAATGAGTCATTTGATGGCTCTGCACTTCATGATTGGTTAAGCTATTTAACATACTTTATTGCTTCTGTGATTTATTGCCTGGTGAGGACACTCAAGAAAGTCTGAGAACCTCTTTGGGGTTTATTGAGCTGGTACATATTTTATGCTGATTTCAAATAAATCAATGTCTATTATAGCATTAAAAATGGGAACATTGGAAAGAACGTTGAGAAGAACTATTTCCGGAGCTTTGTGTTCTGCTTCATGCATAAAGCATGAGGGCTTCATTAACATGGAAGTATGTGCATGTGAACCTTTGGGTCCTTATTAATCATTTTGTGACTAATACATGGAGCTCAATGACTCCCATAAGCTTCTCTAAAAGAAACCATAATGTACACACTGTGTGAGATGGTTCCCCAAAGGAGTGTGTAACTGTAATGTCTCAGATACCCTGTGG